AGGTTCTTCCTGACGTGTATGATGTAAGGTATTGATGTGATTGTCCATAATTTAATTAGGTTCTTCCTGACGTGTATGATGTAAGGTATTATCAGATTGAAGTTGTTTTCGTCCAATGAGCTTGTATTGTGCTGATTATCATTTCAACAGTCGTCCAATGAACTTGTATTGTGCTGATTATCATTTCAACAGTCGTCCAATGAACTTGTATTGTGCTGATTATTATTTTAAGTTGTTTTTTTCAAATATTTGTTTTTTTTTTCAACAAAGACGTCCACCATGTTTTGTAGTTGATTGTTTAAGTTTTTGTCATTTGTAGCTTTGTTGTTAAGCACAGAGCTACACAATGGGCTATCTGTGATGTGCCTAGCACGGGTACCGAAACCCGGTTTTAGCGTTATTTCGCTGAGCCAGTAGGTAGATGGCAGATCACTCACTGTCAAAATGTCTTGAAAAGTGTTTTAGTTGAAATAATCATCAATTTTGTATTAGTTTCAGGTGATCATTTTCTGATTGAAAAACAACCAGTAAAATTAATTCCACCAAACTCCTAACTCGGATAAACTCGGACTATATAAATATATATATTCCTGACAATGACGACCAATTAAACAATAGACTTCAAGTGACGTCAGGTGTCAAGCTAATGACCGAAATATCGTACAAACAATATATGTATGACTATTAGTATCGTGTTGTTTGTCCTGGGGAAAGTTAAAAAAGACAACCACCATCGAGACATGTTTAGTAGACAAAACATGTTAAAATTTAATACAGACACGTGATAAGAAAACAATAAACAGTAAATAAGTTTTGAGTTACAAATATATCGTTTGTCTGTAGCCACAATTCATGGTTTCCATTCAACTGGCTTTGAATGATCTGGTGAGGTTAAAGGTCTTCCTCAGGACCCAGCTCAGAGCTCGAGATTTCCCTTGACGTCGTAGTGCTGGGCCTATTATTCTCCTTATATCAGCGTTGTAGTCATTCAGCCACTGAAGCTTTAAAACAGATAAATAACACCAACTTATTAAATATGTTTTTTTTAAACAGAGGCTTCTTCAAGGTGCGTACGTCTGAACGGACAATCAGGCTGAAAACAAAGAAATCAGGACCTCGTGGTCAACATAGGAAGAGCAATCCACCAAATCTTATTGTAACCATATTTAATATTTGACCCAATCAAAACACAACTTTACAACACGTCATTAAGTCTTGATTTAAACCTGTACTATTTAACTGTTCTAACATAATTACTCTTTAAAACATTCGTTATTTAATATAGATTTTAAAACTATTTCAGTACGACCTTTCTCAAAAACTTCTGTTTAAAATTATCGTTCATTTGAGCAGGAAAAAATTACATTGAAAAACCATCAAAACATAATAAATATGTATTACTTTTCCTGAAGAAAGCTGTCTACTATTGACTCCTACATAATACTTCCTGATTGTTAGTGACTCCTACATAATACTCCCTGATTGTTAGTGACTCCTACATAATACTTCCTGATTGTTAGTGACTCCTACATAATACTTCCTGATTGCTAGTGACTCCTACATGATACTCCCTGATT